CCTGAGCCGGGCAGCAGGGGAGGGGTCCCCACAGCCCCCTCACTGGGAGCCCTGGCCAGAACCCCCAGCTCCTGCTCCGGGACGGGGTCCGGGTGTTCCCGGTGGGAACGGGGCGAGGAGCCCCCAGCACCGCAGGGTGCCCAAGCCGGGGGCCGGACCCCAGGGTGGGGGTACCCACTCCCCCCGCCACGGCCTCCCCAGGCCGAGGGGCCGGGGGCCTCCGCGTGCTCCGAATCGCTGGGATTCTTCCGCATTATCGGGACACAAAAAGGCTTCACACACCGCGCCCGGTGCGGGGGGATTTGGGGCAGCACCTGATCGGGGGGTGGTGGGGACCGGGCGAGGGGCAGCGGGACAGAGCTCCTGAGCGGGGCGGTGGGCACGGCCGTCCCCAGCGCCGCCACCCCCGGCTCCCGCACGGCTCCCGGCGGGAATCTCTGAGGCACTCCCGGCTCTTCCGCTGGTTTGTTGTTGGATTATCCCGGCGAAAGAGAAACCTGGCTCAGAACAACCCGGAGAGCTGCGGGGGGTGGGGTGGGAGGAGCGGGGCACCCGCTGCCGTGAGCCCCCCGACCCCCTCGTCCCCTGCCCTGAGCCCCCCGTGGTGTCCCCACGGCCGTGCCCGGGGGATGTCACCCCGTGAGGGCTGGGCAGGGATGTCGCAGGGTGACATGTCACCCGGCACGGCTCCGGCACAGCGCCTGCGCCCCAGAGGGGACCCCGGCAGTGCCGTGCTGGGGGTCCCGCCTGGGGGTCCCCTCCCGGGCCCCCGTGTGTGTCCCCGTGCGGGGCAGTGCCAGCCGCTGTCACCGCAGGGACAAACCCACGTCACCGGGTCGGTGTCACCAAACGAGCCCGCACGCGAGAACGGGGCTCTTGGAATGTGGCCGGGCTGCAGCCGAGCCCCCGGATCCCACAGCAGGGGCAGAGCCCGTCCCTCTGCCCTCCTCCTCCTCAGGGATCACCGCTCCCGGGGCGCTGGGAAGGACCCGGGTCCTGCCGTGCTGGATCTCCCGCCAGCTCACGGCCACCTCGGCATCGGGTGTCCTGATGGAGCCACACCGGGAGCAGCTGCCCCTCTGCCACCCCGTCCCTCCCTGCGGCCCGGCATCCCGCTCCCATTCCCTTTTCCTCTCTCTTTCCCTTTCTCTTTCGCTCTCCTTTTCTCTTTCCCTCTCTCTGGCTCCCAGCCCTGGGAACCCAGGAGAAGCTTTAATTACCTAAATTGCCTCCTGGCTGGGGCCCCGGGGGAGGGCGGGGTTTGGGAGCAGCACCCGCAGCCCCGCTCCGGTAACCCGCTCCCCAAAAAGCGCCTTTGGGCGCTGCTGCGGGGGAGGGGGGGGGGGCTGCACCCCCGGCGTGGCCCGTGTGCTCCGGGAGGGACGGGGGGCAGAGCCAGGACCCCCAGGCAGGGCGGTACCCCGTACCGGGGGGCCGGGACCCCCCTGAGCCCGCCGGGACCCCCGTGGCCGGTCCCCGGCACCCCCGCAGACGGGCACGGCTCCGGAGCCTTGTCCCGCCGGGAGAGCCGGGCAGGAGCTGCTCCGGGGCACCGGGATCTGCAGGAACAGCCGGGAACAGCCGGGAGAGGGGACAGACGCGTCCTCCAGCCTGAAAGCACGCGAGTGTCCCCAGGGTCGTCAAGGTGTCCCCACTATCTCCAGCATCCTCAGGATTCCCGGTGTCCCCAGCACCTCCAGGATCCGCAGAATCCCCAGTGTCCTTAGGGTCCCCAATGGCTCCAGCATCCTTCAGATCCCCAGTATCCCCAGGTCTCCAGTGTCCCCAGCACCTCCAGGATCCCCAGTGTCCTCAGGATCCCCAGGGTCACCGGCGTCCCCAGTGACCTGGGGCTGTGCCCACCCCAGGGACAGGGTGGGCAGGGAGCAGGGGCTGCCCCCGGAGCCCAGAACCCCCTCAGTCTGGCAGCAGCTCATGCCCAGCCCCACGAGGGTCCCGGGCACGCGGCACAACAGGGGTCTGCACGTGCCTTGGGTCCCCGTGCCCACGGCCCTGTTTCTGTCCCCACCCCTGTGCCCAGTGCCACAGGGCTCCTGCTGCCACCGTGGGTCCCACACAGCCCCTGTTCCTGTGTCACCACTGCCACCATCACCCGTGGGTGGGCAGGACCGTGGCCCTCACAGCCAGCACCGATCCCTGTGCTGCTGATCCCTGCGGTGCCAATGCCCCCGGTGTCCCCATGCCCCTTCCACCCTGGCACAGGGCAGGTCACACCCCACACACCTCTCACCCCTGGGCACTTCCAGGGCAGCTCAGCCTGGTTTCCTCGTTCCCACCCTCTGGCATTGCTTCAGTCCCATGTCCTGGCTGTCACTTGTGCCAGCTGCCCATCCTTCAGGCTGTCCCCAGGCTGTCACCCTGTGCCAGCTGCCCATCCTTTGGGCTGTCCCCAGGCTGTCACCCTGTGCCAGCTGCCCATCCTTCGGGCTGTCCCCAGGCTGTCACCCGGGCCAACCGCCCAACCCTTCGGCCGGCCCCAAGCCGGCAACCTGTGCCAGCTGCCCATCCTTCAGGCTGTCCCCAGCCTGTCACCCTGCCAGCGATCCAACAGTTACCTCGGCACATCCCTGGCCCTGTGTCACCCTCCCATGGGATTGCACCCGGAGCCCCACCTTGACCCTCGTGTCCTCCTTGGCCACACAGACCGCACTCTGTTGCCTCCAAGCCAGGATCTGGCCGTGGTTCCAGTTCCAGCAGGTTCCCATCAGTCCTGCAGCCCTGGCACTGCTGGCAGGGTAGGAGTTTGCCCATGGCAGCACCTGGTCCTGTGCGTGGGGACACAGGGATGTGGGATGTGGGGACATGGGGACAGCCATCCTGGTGCCAGACCCCCACCCGGCCCCATGGAGCAGGCAGGCAGCCCTTGGCATGGCACATGGCACTTGGCACATGGCACAGGGACACCTGCAGTCACCGGCCAGCACTGTCCCAGCACCAGGGACCCCCCGGTACCCTCAGGAATCCCCCTGTGCTGTGGGACTGCCGCCTTTTCCTGGGTGAGCTCTGCCTGGGAGGGGCACCAGCCCGGTGTGGGGCAGCGGGGGGCTCTGAGGGGACCCCGTGGTGGTGCCTGGGCTGTGGCAGCAGTGCCGGGGATGGTGCCCCTGGCACGGAGGTGAACACGTCCCGACACCGCACATGTCCCGACACGCGGCCGGTGACGCGGGGCAGGAGGTGCAAGGGCCGGGCGGGATTGCATCACACCCGGGGAGGGGGGTCAGGGGGAACCCCCACTCTGGGGGGGCTGCTGGGGCCCGCTGTGCACCCCGGGCACCCCTCCCAGCCCGGGGGACCCCGGGATCCCGGGGGTGTGAGCCCCAAGGCCGGGGGTGGGCAGTGCCCGGTGCCGCTGTAGCCCGTGGGGTTGGCACGGCCGGGCCGTGGCCAGGTCACTCAGCCCGGCCCCCCAGTGCCTCTCGGGGGGCCGAGGCCGGGAGGGGCCGAGCTGCCCCCCCACCCTGCACGCACCCCACGTCCCGCTCCCGCGTGGGAGTGGGAATGGGGATTTTCCCGGATGAATCATGCCCGGCTGTGCCCCGGCATGTGCCCGTGACCCTGTGCCCCAGGACGGGCACGACCGGGGGAAGCTGAGTGGAGGGTCCTGCCCGGGATCCCCCGGGCACCTTGCTGGCCCTGGCACAGATGAACTCCGGGGCATGGGGGCGGCTGCTGCCGTGGGGTGGGGTGGGATGGGATGGAATGGGATGGGATGGGATGGGATGGAATGGGATGGGATAGAATGGGATGGGATGGGATGGAATGGGATGGGATGAGATGGGACAGGATGGGATGGGACAGGATGGGATGGCATGGGATGGTGACGGGATAGTGATGCTGCCACTGCAGCCGCTGCTCCGAGCCGGTGCCACCGAGGGCTGTGCCAGGGCACGCTGCCACCTCGGCCCCCCCTGTCCCCAGAGGGGCTCGTGCAGGTGTGGCTGCCCAGGGACGTGTGGCCTGGTGGGAGTCACCGGGGCCGAGGGACGGCGAGGACAGATCCCAGTGCCGGGGGGACTGGCGCCCATGGGACACGTGCTGCCCATTGGCCGCGGGGCCGCCCCTGCTCTCCGAAGGCTGATCCCGGCTCCAGCCGCCCTGGTGGGCACCGGGCTGGGCGCTGCATCCCCATGGGCCCCCCAACCCGACCCCTGCGGCGTGTCTGGCTGTCCGTGCGGGAGGGGCTGCACAGCCCCCACCGTGTGGGTGCCGGGACCCCACGGGACGGGGGCACCCTGCGCAGGGTCCCGACCCGGTGGGGGGGTTGCACAGCTGTGGGGGGGCTTCTTTGCCTCTTGGGGGGGGGTCCTCACCTGGGGGGTGATTTCCGGGGGGCCGTGGGGAATCGGGGATCGTGCACAACTGAGGGGTCCCTGCATATGCACCGAGGGGGGCGTCCCCTCACACCCGGGGGGCTCCTCCCTCACCGGGGGGCTCCCGCGCACACGAATCCACGCACACACCTGAGGTGTCCGTGCACATCTAAGGGGTCCCCACACCCCTATCTGTGCACACGCGGGGGGTCCCCGCACCCCTGTCCGTGCACATCTGGGGGGTCCCGGCACATCTGGGGGGTCCCCGCACCCCTGTCCGTGCACATCTGGGGGGTCCCGGCACATGTGGGGTGTCCCCGCACCCCTGTCCGTGCACATCTGGGGGGTCCCGGCACATCTGGGGGGTCCCCGCACCCCCGTCCCCGCCCCCCGGGGGGATCCCCCCGCCCCCCCGGGGAAGCCCCGCGCCCGGCCCCGCCCCCGCCCCTTCTGGCCCCGCCCATCCCTCCCTCAGCCAATGGGACGCGCGGCTCTTCCCTCCCACAGCCAATGGGACGTCGCGGCCCCGCCCCCGGCGGCGGCGGGCGGCGGCGCAGGCGCGGTGCGCGCGGGGCCAAGATGGCGGCGGCGGCGGGCGGTGGGCGCGGGCGGGCGGCGGCGCCCTGAGGAGCCGAGCGGGGCCCAGCGCGGGCCCGGGGCCGGCCCGGGGCGCGCCCGCCATGGCCCGCCTGGCCGACTACTTCGTGCTCGTGGGATACGATCCCGGCAAGCGCGGTGAGCGGCGCGGGGACGCGGCGGCGGCGGCGGGGGGGCCGGGCCCGCGCGGGGCCGCCTGGGACGGCGGTGCCGGGTCGGGGGTGCGGGGCCGGGCCGAGGCTGCGCGGTCGGGGATGCGGGGAGAGCCCGGGCCGGGTCTGCGGGACCGGCCCAGGAGTGCGGGGTCCGGTCGGAGGTGCGGGGTCTGCCCGGCCCGGGAGCGCAGGGGTCGGGCCGGGGGTCCGGGGCCGTCCTGGGGGTGCGGGGTCTGCCCAGCCCGGGGGTGCAGGGCTGACCCGGGGCTCTGGGGCCGGGGCCGGGCCGGGCAGCGCTCAGCCCCCGGCCCGGCCCCGAGCCCCCCGTGCAGCCCCTCTCCGCGGAGCCCCGCGGGAGCTCCCCTCGCCCGGTTCGCGGGTTCTCGGTGTCGGTGTTTGCAGAGGCTGCTCCTCCCGCCCTCCCCCGCTGTCGCCGAGCTGTCACCGCTCCGGAAACATCGGCTGGGCCTGGGGGCGGAGGGCGGGCACTGCCGCCCCCCGGGGGGGCTCCCGGCCCCGCTGCCGCGGGCATCCACAGCCCCTTGGACAGGGCGTTGTGCTCCCAGCCCCGCTCCCCTCGGGTATCCACATCCCCGCGGGATGGACCGTCCTGCTCCCAGCCCTGTTCCCCTGGGATCCACAGCCCCCCCAGGCAGGTCCCCGTGCCCAGCCCGGTGCCCCAGCGGCTCTTGACCCCCAGGCGTGTCGGGCACCTCGTCCCTGTGTCCTCTCCCACTTCCCTTCTCTCCCTCAGCTGCTGTCGTTGGTGGGGTTGGTCGCGGGGTGTCCCTTGTTTGGGACCTGGGGACCTCTTTCCCTTGTATTTCCTTGTGCCATCCTGCCCCCGACAGCTTTTGGTCAGAATGAGCTTTGGGGGTGTCCTAAAGGAGGTGAAGTGACCCCAGACCAGGATTTGTTGCAGAACTGCCCCCTGAGCATCCCTTCCCACCTGGCACGTTCCCAGGCGGAGAAGCCGTGGGCTGGGGCTGTTCCAGGCCTGGGCTTGGAGCTGGGGAGGGGAGTCCTTGCTCTGCCCGGGGTTTGGCTGTCGTGGGCTGCTGGGGAGGCTGCGGCTCCGGTCACATCCCGGGGTTTGCAGTGCTCCATGGGGAGCTCCGGGGGTTCCCTCCGGAAAGCAGGAGCCGTGGGGAGCACGGCGTGTGTCGGGAATGCTGGAGACCTGGAGGGCTGGATCAGAGCTTGGGGTTCTCTGAGGGGTTTCTGGTCATGTGGTGGCTTATTATTATTATTAATGTTTCCCCTCAGTGTCCCAACCTCCCTTGGCATCGGGATGGGCAGGAGCTGCTCTCCCTGGCACCCTGGGGTGGGACCATCCCTGTGGTGGGAGGGCTGTGGGAAGTGGCTCTTCCACCTGGGAATGGATTCCATGTCCTTTGAGAAGTGAGTGTGGGGCTGGGGCCGTGCTGGGCACTTGTACCCCCTTTGCTTTGCTTCCAAGTGCTTCCTCCGAGTGTTTCCTCCTGCCCCTCCTTCCTCATCTCCTCCCTCAGCTGGTGGTTTGGAGGGGTTGGTGTCTGGTGGGGTGGAGGGACCTGACGTTCCTTGGACCCGGAGTTCCTTTGCCTTGGAGTTCCTTCAGCCTGGTTTTCCTTGTCTTGATACCCAAAACCTGCCTTTCTGAGGGAACAACGAATGCCCCACGTGTGCCTGGGGTCGCTGGGGACTTTTTGGGGGAGAGCGATGGATGGTGCTGTGAGGTGAAGTGGTGGCTGCAGTGGGCCAAAAGAAAGAGAGGAGGTTTAGGCTGGGTTTTGGGAGGGAACTCCTGGCTGGGAGGGTGGGCAGGGCCTGGCACAGGGTGCCCAGAGAAGCTGTGACTGCCCCTGGATCCCTGGAAGTGTCTCAGGCCAGGCTGGATGGGGCTTGGAGCAACCTGGGCTGGTGGAAGGTGTCCCTGCCCATGGCAGGGGTGGCACTGGATGGGCTTTAAGGTCCCTTCCCACCCAACCCATTCCATGAGTCCAGACAGTGGGAAGGGAAGAGTTCACACTTAGTGAATCGTGTTCCTCGTTATTTTGGGTTATTTCCTCTTTATTGACTTTATTTTGGGCTTAACTCCCCTCTGCAAGGAGGGGATGGATCCAGGACGTCATGGGGAGGGGATGGAGCCAGGATGCCATGGGAAGGGAGGGAACAGGTCCAGAACACCAGCCCAAGCCTCCTCACTGCTGGAATGGCACTCACCTCTCTGGGCTGAGGCTCCAGGAGTCACAAAACCCTCTGTCCCAGGCAGTGACAGCCAAAGCAAACCCCTTCCCCTCCCAGCTGGGAGGTGTCCAAGCTCTCCTGTGTCCCCAGGGGTGTGCCAAGCCCCAGGGCCTGTCCCCAGGGGTGTGCCAAGCCCCAGGGCCTGTCCCCAGGGGTGCAGAGATGGACCCACGCTGCTCCTGTGGTTTTTGGGCCCGCTCTGGCAGCTCTCCCTGAGCACTGCCTTGTTTTCCTGCTCCCCCTCCCAGCTGAGATAACGTGGGAGGAAGGGCAGCCGCTCATCTGCCGGTGACTAATTGCTGTACAGGTTGGGTTGGTCCTGCAGGGCCGTGGGCTGGGCAGGATGGTGTGCCAGGATGGGGCAGGATGGTGTGCCAGGATGGGGCAGGATGGTGTGCCAGGATGGGGCAGGATGGTGTGCCAGGATGGGC